TAGTATATGTAAATCTAATTAAAAGAGTGATCCCTGTCACAGATAAAATGTGGCCACTAATTGCAGAAGCTACTGCTCCAGGGCACCACATTGCAAAATGTGATAAGAGTTATTTGTGCTGGTTGGCCTGGAAAACATATACCTAGCTCCTACTCTCAATTCAAAGAAGAGCTGTCAGTACTGGCTAGCATTTTGTTCAAAGGCTCACAACTTGTTCCAGCAGTGCTAAAGAAAGACATGTTAAACAGAATACACGAGGGGCATCTAGACATTGAAAAATGCAAAAGGAGAACAAGGGCTGTTCTATATTGCCCAACATAAATAATGATATAGAAAATGCTGTAAAGGCTTGTACAACGTGTCTGAAGTACAGATCAATGCAAAGAAAAAGAGCCCATGGTAGTCATGGAGGATCCCGTAACTCGGTGGTATCAAGTGGGCATTGACTTATTCATGCATGCAGGAAAAAATTATGTATTAGTGCTGGATTATTAGTCTCACTCTCCTGAAACTGTATTGCTTGGAAGCACAACAGCAAGCCATGTCATAACTCCCATCAAATCGATTTTTGCTATACAAAGGATTCCACAAATTGTGAGAATAGACAATGGACCTCATTTCAACTGTCTTGATTTTAAAGAGTTTGCAAACTAATATGGATCCTGTCACAGCACTTCAAGTCCTAAATACCCACAATCCAATGGTCTGGTGGAATATGGAGTACAAATAGTAAAGAAAATGTTGAAAAAAGCTACAGATTCACATACTAATGTTTACCTGTCACGCTTAAATTACAGGGGCAAGACCCATGAAACATGGATTGTCCCCAGCAGAAATGCTGTTTAACAGGAAACTCAAAACCAGAACCAGCAGTCCCCCTAAACACACCAAAAAAGCTGTGATATACAACCAAGCCCTCAGATACCACCAAATTTGCACTGAAGAGAACACCCAGGATTGCCACCTCACAATCTTAAAAAGGCTTTCACCCAACAAGGACACTCCTCCAGAGAGAAAGATCGCACGTTTGAAAGAGCCACCCGGATACCATGTGAAGAACTGCTGCAGTACAGAAGAAAACCCCCCACAAATCATACACCACTGGTTATGACGTATCACCCCTCCCTCGAACCCATATGGAAAATCCTCAGACAATTGCAACTCATACTAGAAAGAG